CTCACAAATCCTAAACCGCAGTTATTCCATCTCCATAAACAACCGTTTCTTCACAAATCAACCTCACAAATTAACTATGGCACCAAAGAGAGGGCGATGTGATGCAGACATCCGTGATTGTCGATCCCCTCTGATGTCGCTATCCGACGATCTATTGGAGAAGGTTCTCGCATACAGTTGCAACTCCGTCCAACAAATTTTCACACTAAAGCAAGTTTGCAAACGGTTCCAGGCCTGCATTTTAACCAATAATTTTCTAGCATTGGTTGATCCCGTGGAATTGGAGATGCCTATTCCCGAAGATTTCGATATGCCTTTTATCGCAAGTTGGGAATTTCCCAACTTGTTGAGGAGGATGTATGACGCACGCAATCCGGGTTTGCTGTTCATGAAGGGGATGCAAGACTACTTCTGCTGTGGAGACAATTGTGGCATAAAACTCATCAAGGAATCTGCAGATATGGGATACAAAACAGGTATTTACATGTATGGCATGTACATGAAAGCAGTGGTCGAAGACCCCGTGGGTTTAGAGTATCTTTCAAAACTAGGCAGATGGGCAATGATCAGAATTATTTCGGAAAATTATTGATGGATGTGAGCGTGGCTATGTCAATAATTTGCCTGAAGAATTCTTGAAGAGGAGATTTGAAACTAATGCTCAGTTTGGGACACTTTGGTCTTGTCGCTGTGGTGTTGCCAATGCTCAACTTGATTGGCATGACGAATTGTTAAAGGGGCCAAGCATGTGCACGTCGTGTTTCTGGGCACAGCAAAAACGCAAAAGTTCTTCGTATTTGTTTGGTATGTAGTGAGGTCTGGGCCGTCAATGGGAAAATGGTGACTAATTGGTGAAACTCAACCAGTTTCGGTGTGTACACCTCGGTGTGTACACCTTCGTTGTGTACACCTCAGCGTTGCTGTTATTTCAGAATTCATCGAATTGATTAGCATCGCGAATATGTTTTTTTTAGGTTATGTAATCGATTAGATTCCATATTTCGTACTTTATGATTTAATCTTTTGTTTAGGATCTGTACACGTACTTTATGATTTAATCTTTTGTTTAGCATTATCTCTTATATCTTCTATGTATGTATGTATACTTTGTTTTGGTTTCTATCTATGTATACTTTAATTGTGTTGACTTTAATTAATTTCGGTGAGTGGTTGTGGCAGTTTTTCGAGAAGCATTATCTCTTTTATCTTTAAAGTCTCAGTTTACCTCTCTATGTACGCCTAATAACTAGAAAATAAAGAACACTTCAATCTGGACTCAATATGTACACCTAAATTTGTACACCTGAATGTTAAAGACATTTATCACATATTATATATTTTGAATATACAAACGACATTATCTCTTTTGTGGGATTTTTCGGAGAAGATTTGGTATACAAACGACATTATCTATTTCGGAGAAGATTTGGTATACTAACAGCTTCATTTCATTAGCCGCATAAGGGACGTGTAGAGTGCATACATACATGAGGAGTTTTTTAGCCCTTCGTGGACGTACGACGCAAATTTCAAACATGGCACATGCGAAAGTAGCATGTTTATCACATGGGACAAGTCGGTTAAGCATCCTAATCGCTGAATACAATCTTCGCTCACGCACGGCAACTCTAATGGCTTTGAAATAAATAGCTCGTGAATTGTAGGCGCAAAGACAACGCTCAAAGAATGGGCGGTAAGGGTTGTTAGGGGATACGTCGATTGGTGACTCAACCAATCGAGAGATGTCTGCAGACCGTAACACGTCGTCGGTAAACGCGATGGCTCTTCCACGTTTTCCTGCGCGAATAATGGGGACAAGATGATAGGAGTCATCCTCAGCTAGTTTCTTTACTATTAACCCTAAAACATCATCGTCTAAGTAGTGCATTGATGTTTAACTGTGGTGAAAAATAAATTTGATTCGCTGTAGACAGGGTGGATAGATATATAAAGGAAAGACGCCCATTCTTTCTGAAATGTTTGGCGAGTGGAAACCCTGAGGCAAGATACTGGGAAGCCCTGAGACTTGCAACCAGAGGCGCAGATCTCATTGCAAGTAGGACCATGCTGGAACCAAATGTTCCCACCGATGCTCTCTCGACCCTGGCGTCGACCATGTTCAGCGTTTGCTTGGGTGACCCTTGTTCCGCAAGCCAAACATTGCAACTGTTGGCAACGCATCACGGAAGTCTACAGTCAGAGCGCGTGCGACAATTAGGTGAGGAGTTAATTCTTGAGATTTCATATTACGGAACTGCATACATGGATACGTACTCAAACTCATTTTCATATCCAAACGACGATGTCATCAAGCTGCCTGATTGTGCATTTGATCATTTCGAACCTGAGATCCGAGTACTTTGCAATGGTTGCTTTATATATTGGTGTGCTAGGCGTATCTGCGAAATGCTTTAAAAATAAGTTTATGGTGTACATCTTCTCAAGTGTACACGAGTATGTGTAGACTATATGAAGTGTACACCTATATTTCATTTTTAGTATGTAATGAACAATCTTTGAATTAATAATCGATGACTTATGTTAAATATCGGATATAAAATCCTATATGAAATCCTAAACATAAAAAGCATAAATTGATATAAAAAAATTTAATATAAAGTCATAAACTTCGCATGAAAAACACGCTCACAAAATAGTGGTCTTATTTTTTGCAAAAGAAATAACACAATTCAACAAACAAAATTAATAGAACAATTCACGACTTCATGCTCCTCCGGCGTGCTCCACCGTCCATGCAAGTGCAGTGGTTTCAAAAGCAGCCCTGTCTTCCACGTAAATCCTAGCAATTTCTTCAACAAAAAAGTGTCCTTCACTTATTTGGGGGGCAGTTAACATTTGGTGTATTTCTGTGAGTACCTGATTACATAGACATGTATACACAGTTAAGCCCTGTTTTAATCGAAATTAAGATTATTAAGCAAAAGACAATAACGATTTATTTCTTTCATAAGTAAAAATACATCATTGATGCTGTTGTTGGTCTTGAAGTGAGTTGGGTTCAACATCTTAAGTATTAACGTTTGGGTGATACACTTTTGTTTTGAACATCACCTGAAAAAATAGAGTTATTAGTAATTGAAATCTTTATTGACTAAATCCCAAACCCTAAAAATACAGCAATTTGAGAGAGCAATCATATGCTTCATTCCTTACCCTCGGTGGCGCGAAAAGGTAATCAAGCGGAAAGTGAATGTCTAGTTTGAAAACACCATTCTCATAGGGTGAACCTTTAGGCCCCGTTATGATAGCTTCCCAGTGATACAAGTCCTCACCCACGGGTCCTAATGAAATCAGCAAAACACTAATTAGGTAGACGATGTAAAAGACCGATCCTCAAAAACTAAAACTAAAAAACTCCCCTATTTTCAAAAGAACCATCAAATACCTGTACTGAAACATGGACTGTTTTTCCTCTCCACTTCCTTCAATTGCAATGAGATCACTTTGGCAGAGTACGTTTTTAGAAAGTAACTATTAATTTTATGTGTAATTAACTTTTGCTGTAATTAACTTTTCTGTCTCCGGAAACTTGTTTCACTCAAGAAGGCAGGGGACAATTTTTATAGAGGACGACAGGAAAAACATTTTAAAGTAAAGAGAGCAAAACGAGTCGGTCAAACGGTGGAACGGGTTTCTAAAAAGGTACTTAATTAGTTTTTGTCGTTTCCTATTTGATTTTTTGGGTCGCGTTTATTCCTCATACACTGTTTTCCATTATTGCGGTTTTCAAAAACGTAATGACTTAATTTTTGAAAAAAACCGTTTATTTGTGCTGTCCTGTCCTACAATTTCATTTCAAAGACACGATCATTGTCCGTTTTCTAGATAATGTTTTCTTTCTCTGCTATAGAACCATGTCTTTGATAATTATTTTGATCCAGAACCATGTCTTTGATAATTATTTTGATCCCCTTAATAAGATAAACCCTAAACCCTACATCGTAAACCCTAAGCCCTAAACCCTAAACCTTAAACATAAGCCATAATGTGCATACACCTAAATTTTTATGCGTACACCATATAAATGTAAACTTATACATAAGCCATAATGCACATACACCATATAATGTAAACTGATTTATGTTGTCCACCATCACAGTGTACACAAACTATGTCCACCATCACAGGTGTACAGAAACTGTGTACACCTTGTCCACTAAACATAAGCCAGAATGTGCATACACCCTATATTTATATGCGTACACCATATACTATAAACTTAGACATAAGCCATAATGCGCATACGCCATAAGCCATAATGCGCATACACCATATAATGTAAACTGATTCATGTTGTCCACCATCACAGTGTACACAAACTATGTCCACCGTCACAGGTGTACACATGTCCAGTAAACATCATAAATTTTATAACAAATATAACTTAGTTCATGCCTTGCTAAGTTTAAATATAGGGAAACATAGTTTACACAAGAAACAAAACCGAAAAACAAAGCGAGATCCCCACAAAAAAAAACCAACAAGAGACACACAAAAAACAATGTGGCTCGCTCTTTCCTAAACACAACAAAAGACACACAAAAGCCACACCCGGTCAACCCAATGGTTCCTTGCATTTTGCCCGGTTATGGCCGGGATTTCCACATCTCGAACATTTGTTTGGCTTCTTTTTTTTTGCAACTTGCAACAGCGTATATCAGTAATCAGTAATCAGTATGACTGGGGAAAAATAATTGTTTAGTGTACACTAACCTGAGGATACTCTCCTGCTGAAAGTTTTCTCTTCGTCGTAGGCCTTCCTGATTGACGTTTTGACTTAGGTGGCATAATATTCAGGTCACGCACCTCTGCTGGGATATGAATGTCGTCAGGGTCGGGCACTAGTGGGATTTTGCCACAAACTGTTGCACTCCAAATTGATTTCTTAAGAATTGGATCAACCAAACTGCTGTACTCCACTTGGCGAAGCCTAGCCGCGGCCATTGCATGTCGGCAAGGGTATTTCAATGTCTGAAACTCTAGACATGAGCATGTTTTTTTAGGAGATCAACATGCCGCCGTACACCGAACTCAGAACTCACTTCAACCTCCCACAAAGAAATGCCTTGAACCGATAGTGCAGCAGATTTTTCAAGCTGCAGGTTCATTAACTTGTCAACTTCTTCTGGAATGTCACCATCCATCTTTTGAATTTTCTCTCTTCTGCATTCAAGCCACCTACTTAACATTCGCCTGATAAATTCTAGCATTGCAACGATTGGACTGTCTCTTGCTGCGAATAGTGCATTGTTCAGAGACTCCGCAATGTTACTGGAGGTCATATTATACCTCTGACCAGAAAAGTGTGATCTAGTCCACAGCGCAAGAGGGATTTTTTCCATGTACTCCCAACAACGATAATCAACATCCTTCAGCCTTGCGTATAGTTTCTTGAAATTAGAAACTGTGAACGCTTCTCCAGCCTTTCCGACCAACCCTTTCTGACCGGAACCTTTGTATTTACCGTGAACATTTCTCTGGATATGGGCAAGACATGCACCGTGGTGTGACTGTGGATACCTTTTCTTTTTAGCTTTGGCAATTCCACCGTGCCTATCTGAGATAATAGTAAGATCAGAGGAATCTGGAATAATGTCTACCAACTTCTCAAAGAACCACCTCCATGTCTGGTCAGACTCTGCATCGACAACGGCGAACGCTATTGGAAAAACCTGGTAATTAGAATCTTGTCCACTGGCCGTTAATAGACAACACTTATACTTACCAGTCAGGTGAGTCCCATCAACAACAACTACTTGTTTCAAATGTTTCCATCCAGATATACACGCAACCAATGCCATAAATACGGACTAAAACCTGGTCATACATTTTCGATCTTTTTCATCTCTCTCGGTTGACAAATGCGTTATAGTGCCGGGTTAGCATACTTGAGCACATGGAGGTAAATCGGTAATAATTTGAAAGAAGTCTCCTCTGTTCCGTGAGCAGAGTATATAGCCAGCTCCTTAGCTTTCCAGCATTTCCAGTACGTGGCTGTAATATTATATTCGGAGAGAACAATCGCAGGTAGCTCACTCGCACGTGGACCAACTATTGCATTCTCGTACTTAGACTTCTGCAGAGCCGCCATGACTTTAGAAGTAGCATGCTTAGAAATTTTCTTTCTTGTATCTGGGTGGCATGTATGCTTCAAGCACGTCTTCCTCACCTCATACAACGCAGAGTCGCCAACTTGACACCCCAACACCCTCCAATTACATATCTTTGCTGGACATTTGGCGACTGTGTACTTCTTCGCATGCTTTTTGAATTCGAACGTCACTACATTCTTCAGCGCATTGATGGCCAACGTGATTTTAAAGTGTTCCTTGTTCCTGAACTTTTTCCCAACCCATATCTCTCCATCTTCATTTGACAAATCAAGTTCATCGAAATCCCCTCCCATATCATCAGAGACTGGTGCCACATCCGGAAATCCATATAGTTCAGTACGTTTAATCGCTTTCTTCAGCTCTGCACCGCCATTCTGACGCCCCCAAACGACATCACCTGTCGGAGTCTGCACAAAATCATCATCATCTCCATGGGGAGCCAGAACCTTCTCACATACAGTCCTCTTTCTTCCGTTAAGACAATGGAGTAGTCCATATGGTTTGAATCACTCGGCTCACTTCCGCGACTACTTCCACAACCCCCTGAACTACCTGAGTCATCCTTATCCTCATCAAATCCAGGTTTAGAATGGAAACCCTTACCATCTGCTAGTACGTAATCATTCCACCAGTCAAATCATAATCCGGATCATAATCATCATCAGAGCCGTATGCGTCATCGTCAACATCATCAGCTTCCTTCTCTTCCGAATCTCTTGCCTTGTCTGATTCCTGGGACATTTTTAATTCCAACTCAGGGTGGTCAACAGAGACAGCGTGACTTGGAACATCAGGTTTTACATTAACGAAGGTGTTAGTGCTGGCCTTAGCCTCTACTTTCTCTGATTCCTGGGACATTTTTAATCCCAACGAAGGATGGATTACAGAGACAGCTTCAGGTTGTACACCTTTGGAGGTGTTCATAGCGGCCTCTGCCTCTACTTTCTCGGGATGTGTTATCAGCAAGCAATCATCGATATCTTCATCATCTGCTTCATCATCGGGTTGACTAGACTCTGCCAAAGAAGAGGCTATGAAGTTTGTTGGCCCTACAGACTTTCGCCGTTCCCTAGCAATTTGAACTTCAAGACTTTCCTTCCGTTTCAATCTCACCATTTTACCATTTACTGACTCCTTGAATGTGACAAATAAATTCACAGACTTGTCAGACTTATGCAGCGAAAGGAAGAATTTGTACTCTCGAGGAGTAACTATCACACATGGACAACTCCCATCACCATTAAGCTCAGCAAGAACATCATCAAACCAGTAGGAAATCTCCACCGATAGAACTCTCGGGTCTAATCCGAACTCATGCGCAATCAGTTTTCTCAAATCATCTGGTCCAGACACATCTTTGCAATTTATGCACCTTCCACGACGAGATATGTCCATTTTGAAATCCCAATCTCCTGTATAGTACCTTATCCACGTTCCCGCCATAACAAGAATGAACGCATCCACTGCAAATCGCGAACACCATATCTAAAAAACTACTGGCAAATAGCGAACACTAGAACGAAAAAATTCGAAAATAACAATGACAAATCTATGGGTGTACAATAATAGGATTAAGTAACTAACCGTGGTTGTTGTCCTCTTGATCATCGCATAATTTTCCCTTCAATTTTAACATCTTCTGGAAAGGAAAATTAGGGTTTCTAATTTGGTTAGGGTACTTTGTTTCTTATTTTAACCAATTTATCTCCATTATCTCTAATTAACCACAATTTTTCCCGCCAAAAATAAAAAGAGAATGGGAAGGGTAGTTTTGAGTCTAATGAGTTGGGTAGTTTCCGGCCCATAACCGAGGCCCAGTAAGGTGGGTTTTGGAAATTTCATTCCAAAATTCGAAATCCAGCCCAAAAAACGACCCAATCACGCGCGTGAGTGCTCTCTTCCCGGCTGTTACGCGCGCGGACACAGACTACTCATGGGACCTACGGTATTTTCTGCGTCTATCTCTCTCTAAGGGACAGACTTCTCTCTCTCTCTCTCTCAGAAACAAGGGTAAGTTTGGCATTATGAAAGTATGTCCCTACCCTGACTAATTAAAACATAAAACTACCCTTTTCTCAAATAAAAACTTAAAAACGTCCTTATTTTCAAAACAACCCAGAAACCAATAGGGCAGGAAGAAGAAGGAGTGTCGGTTTAGTTTTGGATTGAAATTGGGATTAGTTTTGGGTTTTATTTTAAGTTTATTTGGTCAAAGTTAAATTGGTATACAGCAACCCAAAATTAATTGTGGTTTAGGTGCAATCTGGTTTCGATATTTTATTTGGTGAACAAAGTTTTCAACTTTTATTCAGTGGAGAAATACATTTTGAACATTTATTTGTGGGGGAGGTAAGACGATATCAAAAGTTTGGATAGATTTGCTAGTATACAATATTTCTGAGAGAGAAATAAATTATTTCTCCAAAGAATGCAATGGAATTTTGATAGACTATCATTCTAAGTTTTCTAAAATCTATAAATTTTTGAATTTGGTTATTTGTGTAAAAAGATATATTTATTTTATTAGAAATTAAAATTGTATTAAATTTCCATAAATTGAAAACAAAACTGAAAAAAAAACAACTGCAGCTACAAATCAGTTGTAGCAAATTTATAAAATGCATAATAATATGTAAAGAGTTTCTAAACCTGTAGTATCTCTCCACATATCTTCAACCATAGCTTTTTGAAAAAAATATTTTCAATTTCTCTGTCTTGCTCTAGTGTCTCGAGAAACGCATCTATCAGCTTGATCGGTATTATTCTGTATTTTTTTTTTTAAACTGGGAAATTCTTCAAAACCTGAGCGGCATTTTTTTACGAATAAATTTATGCAATGCTATATATGCTAATGCTAATTCAGCTTGTTTCTTGTAAAAAAAAAAGGAGGTGTAGGTTTAAAAAATGCGAATCAAGATTTAAAATTTCCAAAGATTCTTTCAATCACATTTCTCAATCTAGTATGGCGAAGATTGAATAACTCAGCTGCAGTGTTAAGATCACATATTTCACCAGTCCACTCTTGTATATGATAGCGAAGACCACGAAATGGAGCAAAAAAATTAAGTCAATTTAAAAATCCACAATCAACTAGATAAATTTTTCTTGAAAGTTTAGATGGTAAGATATTACTAAAGATTAAGCATAAGATATATAAATTAGTTTGTAATTGTTTTACCTTGTGGTACTTGAAATATTTTGTTCTCCTAGTCAAAGCATTACTTTTGAATAGTTTGTTCTTGAATCGTGTGCTGAACTTTTCCATCCACTAAAAATATATATGAATTCCAAGTTAAGGTTACATACAGCTAAAACATTTTGTGATATTACTCCTTTCGAGTACGGTAATTTATCACCTCACGTCCAAAAATTGTTGCTGGTATATGTATATCATCTAACGTTCCAACACAATTACGAAAAATGTTAAATTAGATTTTAGTAAAAATAATAAAATTTAAATAAAACAAGAGATGAAATCATGTATCTTAAAATATGGATAAAATCATGTACTTTCTATGTCTTTTATAGGCACTGAACCATTTTGTCTTATCATTAGACTTGGAGCTATTACAAGTATAGCTCTTAAAATACAATTAAAGCCGGTGCTTATTGCAAACTTTAATACATAGAAATAAATGTACAACTTTAATATTTCTCTGCGCACATTTTTGTTAAATTCTGGTAAAGCCAAATATAAGAGCTGAATTCAACTTGGCTTTGATTGCTTCAAAAGCGTGTGTTGCTTCTGGTGGCCACACAAACTGAGTTGCTTTGATGCAATCGGTAATAAGAGCCATTATATTACTGAACTAGAGAACAAAACAGTGATAAAAAAGAAGCTAACCCGTGGAAGCTACTAGTCTTGGAAGGCATTATCGGGATTGGCCAAGACTGAATAGCGGAAATTTTACTTGGATCGACTACTAAACCTTGGGTGGACACTATATAACCTAAGAAGTGCACCTCAGAAGATCTGAACTCATATTTTTTCAATGCAGCAAAGAAGTTGTCATGGTGCAATACACTCAAAAACCTAATGCAAGTGGCTGAGATGGTCGTTGAGAGAAGTGCTAAAGATAAGAATACCGTCAAACTAAACTACAATAAACTTCCCAATTCAAATAGCATAACTAACCACTCAAACAATCCCTATGAAAGCATTTCACAATTCAAACGACATAACTAAGCATTCAAATAATCCTTCACATGTTTTAAAAGTAGTTTTCAGTTCATCTTAAGGTTGGATTCATGAAAGCCACTTTTCAAGTCAAGATTTGAAAAGATAGTTGTAGAACCTATCAGATCGAGCAAGTCGTCAAGTCGCGTAATCGGAAAGGGATAACATACTGTGATCTTATTTATCACACGACTATCCACACATATTTACCAAAATCCATTTTTTTTTTTAAACAAGATCGGAACAACACAAGAACTTACTCTTGTGCAAATAACCACAATTTGTTTTACTTGTTTGAAAAGCTCTTCATGTCACTCGGGTAATGAGGACGATTAGCTAGAACTGTATCAGTACCATGTTGAATATCCCTGAAAGCTGGTAATCCCATAAAGAGATTAATAGGAAACACACCTGCGAGCAAAGATTAATAAGATGTCTCTTTCTAATTATATGGCATAGATATTTGGATATGTAATTTAGATTTGACTAGGTGAATACCCGCACGTTACGTGCAGGTTTTTCTTTTCAAAATTTTGAAACCTTTTTTTTTATATTTTTATAAAAATTAATATAATCATTACTTGTTACTTACTTACTTATTAATATTTTATTTTTAAAAATTATAAAATATTAATACATATTGAATATTATTTAATAATTTAAAGTTATATTAAGATTAATAAATATCATTCAATATTTTTAATTAGTTATAACATAAATTTTTGTTTAACATTTACAGAAATATTAATTGATAGTCAATTAATTAAAAAAATAAAATTAATATAATCATCATTTTATTTGTTATTTGTCAATATTTTATTATAAATAATTTTAAAAAATTAATTTAAAATACATCTTGAATATTATTAAGCAATCTAAATAATATTAAGTAATCTAAAATTATATAAAAATTAAATACATATCTATCAATATTTTTAATTAGTAATAACATAAATTTTTGTTTAATATTAATATAAATTTTAATTAAGAGTCAATTAATAAAACAAACTTTTCATATTCTTTAAGTGTTTTAAAATTTAATATTAAATTTTATTAATTAAAATTTAAGGATATGTATCAACCTATCCAATGTTGATGTGTCAATTATATCGAAAAAGTTGAGCAAAACTTTTATATATAAGATTTCATGACATTAGTATTCTCTCATAAAGAAAAAAAGAAAGCCCTTGCACTTCGATTAATTTCCCTTTCGAGCCCTAATTTATACTCTTATTAGTTTAATCGCCACGGCGTCTAAGTCCGTCGGCTTACACACGAGCCTTTACGAGCATCACATTTTCAGAGTTTGAATTCAACCACCGCCATGGAATATCTCTTGTGAGAACACAAAAGACTCAATCTCCTCTCAATTTCTAAATCTTCACCAAATCTCAGAATAACTTAGGTTTCACACTGAGGACGAGGCCGAGAAAGGAAGAAGAAAAATGGGGAAGAACGAGAAGACTTCTCTAGGTCGAGCCCTTGTGAAGCACCATAACCATGTGATCCAAGAAACCAAGGAGAAAGGCAAATACTACAAGACCCAAAACAAGAAGGTCTTGGAATCCGTGACGGAGGTTACCGACATCGATGCCATTATCGAGCAAGCGGAGGAAGCCGAGCGGCTTTTCGCGATTCACCACGATTCGGCGACGCCTGTGCCCATCAATCTGTAGGGTTTTCTCGATTTATTGTTTCACATATTTGTTAGTATCATTCTACAATTGATTACTGTTTATAACTCTTTGAGCTTCAGTTTTGTTAGATCATAATGATTCTTGTTTATGCATCCTTCTTCAAAAGTTTCTTGTTTATACGTCTTTGAGATTTATATTTGTTATATCATTCTTCAAATGATTCTTGTTTGTGCATCTCTTAGCTTCATATTTTGTTAGATCATTCTTTAATTGGGTTTTCTTTAGACGTCTTGAAGCTTAATATTTGTAAGATCATTCTTCAAAAGATTCTTTTCAATATGTCTTTGACTTCATATTTGCTATTATTCTTCAATTGGTTCTTGTTTATACGTCTTTGAGCTTCATATTTGCTAGATTATACTTCAAATGATTCTTGTTTATGCATCTTTGAGCTTGATATGTTCCATTCTTGATTATACGTCTTTAAGCTTCATATTTGTTAGATCATTCTTCAAATTATTCTTGTTTATACGTCTCTGAGCTTCATATTTGTTGGATCAGTCTTCTATTGGTTCTTGTTTTATACGTCTTTGAGCTTCATATTTGTTTGATCTTTTTTCAATTGGTTCTTATTTATACGTCTTTGAGCTTCATATTGGATCATTCTTCAAGTGGTTCTTGTTTATGCGTCTTTGAGCTTCATATTTGCTAGATCATTCTTCAGTTGATTCTTGTTTATATGTCTTTGAGCTTAATCATCTAAAATTGTGTCTAAGTGTGTTTATGCTCTTATTCTGGAGAACTGCCTCTTTATACTGAATCATTTCTCTCATGTTCTAATCTTCGTCGATTGTAATTTTTCTGTAAACAGGGAAACAGCTTCGAGCTCAAGTGGTGTAACAGCTAAAGAATGGAAAGAACAACGGAAGAGAGAGGAGGCTTTACATGCTAGTAGCCTTCAAGTGCCTCGAAGGTGAGTGGTGTTAATACATCTCTCTTCTGCTTCTTTTCATTATCTTCAGGAGTATAATAAAGTCTCTTTCACTTTTAATGTTCTTCTCTTTGTTACTATTCAGACCTCCTTGGACACCTAAAATGAATGTGGACCAACTTGATATCAATGAAAAACAAGCTTTTCTCACTTGGCGCCGGAAACTTGCGAGGTTGGTTCTGTTTTATCTCATCTTAAGGGATCTATAATCAGTCATCATTCTTCGTAGTGTTGAGAACAAACAAGATAGATACATGTCATTAGAAGGCTTGTTGCTGGTAGTAGAATGGGGGATTGCTCATATGCAAGTGTTCAAGCATAAAGCATTTCATTCAGCGTCTATGAAGTATAATGCTTTTCTATTAAAAATGAACGGAGAGATGGATGAAACAGATCAGGAGAGTTCGTTCTTGAATCAGTGCTCACAAATTAGCGACTATGTTTACTTATGCATATATACTTATGCATGCCTACTTATTCATTCAGCCTAGAGGAAAATGAAAAGCTTGTATTAACTCCATTCGAGAAAAATCTGGACATCTGGAGACAGCTTTGGCGAGTGCTTGAACGAAGTGATTTGGTATGTTACTCTGTCCAGGATATGTTTTTCGTGTCTTTTAGCCTATTTCAATGAGTGAAATTAATTGCAAATATGACTGACTCTTTTTACTACTGTTTCAGATTGTCATGGTAGTTGATGCTAGAGATCCTCTGTTCTACCGTTGCCCTGATCTCGAGGTAACAACTTGCAGCTTTCTCTTAGTAGACTTTTCCTGATACATATCAAACATTTACGTGAATATTTGTTCTGGCACAGGCATATGCACGAGAAATTGATGAGCATAAAAAAACAATGCTTCTGGTGAACAAGGCTGATCTTTTACCTTCTCATGTCAGGTAAATTTGTGTCTTGCTCCTTTGCTCTCCAACCTTTTTTGCTTTTATTTTGGCTAACCAGTTGGGTTGTGCATAATATAAACACAGGGAGAAATGGGCGGAATACTTCTCCCGCAACAATATTTTGTTTGTCTTCTGGTCAGCCAAAGCTGCTACAGCTACCTTAGAAGGTAAACCCTTGAAAGAACAGTGGAGAGCACCTGATACCTCTCAGAGAACAGATGACCCAGCTGTTAAAGTATATGGAAGAGACGAGCTTTTGGATCGATTAAAATTTGAGGCTCAAGAGATAGTAAAACAGAGGAAATCTAGAGGAGTTTCCATGGAAACACCTGCTGAATCTCACCAAGAACGTGTTGTGGTGGGCTTTGTTGGGTACCCGAATGTTGGAAAGAGTTCGACAATCAACGCATTGGTAGGTCAGAAGCGAACAGGTGTCACATCTACCCCAGGGAAAACGAAGCATTTCCAGACATTGATAATCTCTGAGGAGCTAATGCTCTGTGACTGCCCTGGTTTAGTCTTCCCTTCATTTTCAAGCTCAAGATATGAAATGATTGCTTGTGGAGTACTCCCAATAGACCGTATGACTGAGCACCTTGAGGCTGTTAAAGTTGTGGCCGAACGGGTTCCTCGGGAAGCCATTGAGGAAGTGTACAACATCTCTCTACCTAAACCGAAAACCTATGAGCCTCAGTTCCGACCACCACTTGCCTCAGAGCTTCTAAGAACTTACTGCCTGTCTCGTGGCTACGTTGCCTCTAGTGGACTACCTGATGAGACAAGAGCAGCTAGGCAGATTCTGAAAGATTACATTGAGGGTAAGCTTCCACATTTTGCACTGCCTCCTCCAGATGGTGAAAACGCAGTAGAAGAAGGTTCACAGTCTGAGGACGAAGGTGAAGAAGCTCCTGGTCGTGGTCTTGACCAAGTTCTAGATGATCTGAGCTCGTTTGATCTTGCTAATGGGCTTGGGTCTTCAAAGAAGAAACAAGTGGAGTCGCATAAACAGCACAAGAAGCCACATAGGAAAAACTGATCGGTTTTAATGATAACAAATGCTAGAAAAAATACGAAACAGTGGTGGATATTTCTTTTGTAAACTTGTTAGAAGTTATAAACAGCTGTTTGTTAGATGTTGTGTGTTTCTGCAAATATGAAATGTCGATATTTTATTAAGCTCGATGCTAGTCTGTATACTGACCAAAAGTCATGCAATTGGCATATTATCACTCACTCATATGCATAACAGCTCTAAGTGGTACAGTTTATGACCAAAAGTTCGTTGTCTACTATGAACTTGATAAGACATAGGGCTGCAACTCGGTTTTAAATAATTGGGTTTGGATTATAATGCATATGTTATGTATAATAAGTAAATAATGATGCATAACAGGGACACTTATCCACCTGACTTTATTGCTGAAATACGACAAAGACTGGGGAGCCTCCATGATCAGTACACATGGCCACAAAATAATCTTGACCATCTAATCTATAGAGTTGAAGGAAAGAAGTACACAATCAAAAGGTATATCCCGAACTACAAAATCTTATAACGAAAATAGTTTATGACAGTGAAAAAGACGACGAGGACACTTTAGATAAAAGAGAATTTACTTCTCTTTTTAGAGACATGGAGAATAAATAATGATGCACATGTAGAATAAGTAAAAAATAATAATGCATATGTTAAATAAGAAAAGAATAAAATAATTATGCATGAGGAAGTTAGGTATCCACATGCAAGATAACTCTAAGTTAGGTATCCACATGTGTAATAGTTTTAAGTTAGGTATCCATCATATCACTATAAATAAGAGGTTTGGGTGCTTGCATAAACCAAGCCAAGTCCTGTAATCGAGTCTGAGAAAAAACTTGAGTGTCCTTGTAATTTATGAGTGTTCAATATACATAAAATATCCCCATTTGTATAATCATCTTTTCCACCCTTTAATAACCTTTTAAATATTGTTGATCCTAATAAACATTTTTTGTGATTGTACCCACTATGTGTCCGTAAATTTGGTATTAGAGTCATGATAGTCTAAGCTTTAAATCTTATCTCCCGAAGAGTAATAAGCCTACGAGTTGTCTTCTTCTACAAGCTAATATAGAAAGTATGCTCTGTGGTTGCCACATAGTGGATCCTCCACATCAGAAATCTGACATAGCTAGGAAAAGAATTTTGAGAAAACACTTATAAGATCATAATGCTCAAAGTACCTTGAGGCTCAAAGCTATGAAGTATTGCCTCGGTTATCGAGCTAAAACATCTTACGAAGGATTTCTCAAATATTCTTAGTGCATCATAAAAACCACAACTCTTGGCTTAATATTATTCTAAGGGATAGATAAGGAATAAAGCGCATTCTGTCTTGGTTTCTGGTTTCATCACATATCATGGAAAATTCCCTAAACACTACTCCTTTCAGAAAGTCAACCTCTAGTAAGATAGATTATTTATATGAAATAGAGTATGTGAGTGAAGATAGTAAAGTACTCATCACCCAGTTACCTTTACTAAACCCATATAAAGCTTTTACAAAACCAAACTCTACTCTCCCAAAGGTGATAAAACAAGTCTTTGGTCCCAGATAACATGCCACCAGAGAACTAATCCTAACCTCACAAATGGAGCAACACTTGGTTCCAGCAACAGAAACTGAGCAGATGATTCCTCTTCATTTCAACGAAGGGATGGTTCACCAATGGAAAACTCATGGCTACATCCACCTACATTACGGAGCAATTAGGTTGGCGTTGACTCTGCATGGAAGAAAAGGTTTACCCGTCGTGGCGAGAGTTGCCCTACTCGACACAAGATACAGAGAATACCACCATGCTTGCATAGCAACAATCAGACCCGATCTGGT